TAGGGTGGTCTCTAGATCATTTTCTGGAGCATCAAGAGCCTGGGATGAACAAGGAGAGTTCCTGAGTCAGGATATGCAGGGTGTGGCTCCCTGGGGAGCAAGAAGCTTGACAACCATTATCTCCAGGTGGTGGAGCTGGGGACAGCTCTTATTTTCTTCTTTGTGTTTTTCTGTTTTTGGCAGATATTTTTTTTTGCAGAGCACACTTATTTCTACTATAACCAGAAAAACAGTTCTGATGTGAATTCCTACAGGATTTTGCTTCCTACACTTTTGTGTAGTCTGAATATTTTGCAAGGAGGTTGCATTTCTCATATACTCAAAAAAAAAAAAAAAAAAAAAAGTCTGGCAGCAGGAGGAATGCTACCTGAGGCAAAAGCTGTTGGCCTTGTTCCAACCCTGGGAGACCATGAGAGACTCCTGGTGCACTTGTTTCTGGTAACCAGGACAAAGGAACAGGGGCACATTGGGGCTGTGCAAGTGAGAGCACCCTGTTTTGCTGGTCACATCTTCTCAGATCTGTCTCCTGGTTGGACATGTAGACCCATGACCTATCTCCATCCTTCTGCACAGGCAGTCTGGGATCTCCAGGTATTTCATTGAGAAAATGCAGACACTTCAGGCTGCCGCAGTGCTTCGGAATTAATCTTTAAAGCCTGACTGTGAGCATTAAATTCAATTAGGGAGAGCGACTGGCAGAGATTATTCTCTCCCTTTCCCGAGCAGTTTGGAGAGGTAGCTGACTGGTCCGCGCTGATTCCGGTGTTCTTGTCGGTACCAGCTGGAAGAACCAGCAGGTGCTGTTCACCTGTGGGCGTCATCACCCAGTGTCCAGCTTGAGCCCAGTACGGGTGCTTCAGGAAGCCCTGGCATGAGTTCCAGGGTGCCGGGCTGCGCTTTGGCCTTGGTGTCACAGAGCCTGTGTTTTCTACTCCATATGTCTTTTGTGACAGCCCCCATCCTTACCCCGTCCTCTGCTCCTCCTGTTCCTGCTCTTCCTTCCTCTCTTCTCCTCTGGCTCCTCCTCTGCATCATCATCTTCTCCTCCTTCCTTCCCATACCCCTTCCCGTTTCTTCTCTGTGTCCTCCTCTTTCCTCTATTGCTTCCTTTTCTTCTCCTACCCTCCCTCCTCACTATCTTAACATCTGTATTTGAAATTAGGACATGCTTATAAGAATATATTATACTCAGAAGCATAGAAAGTAACCAAACAGACACTTGTGAATGCAGCTGAGAACATGAAATCCAGAGGTCTGTCCCTAGCTTTGATGGACCACCAGCTGTTTGACACTTTGGTGAATGTCTTCTCAAGACGCCCCCTTCTTATGGCTTCTGGGGAKCCCCTCTCTCTTTTTCTCCCAACTCACTGGCTTCTTCTACCCAGACTCCTTTTTTCAATGTCCTTCTCCTCCTCAACTCCCATCCTGTGAACTCTGGGGCCCTAGGTTGAGGTCAGGGCCTCCTTTCTGCTCTGTGTGCATGTATTCCCTGGAGAGCACAGCCAGCTCATGACGGTGACTTGCATAGCTCTGTGTCCATTCTGGACCTCTCTTCTGATTATCTTATCATGTGTTTCACTGCCTGCCTCTGGGTTGAGAGTGGAGCTGCTGGCCATCTTTACCCTAGCTTGCTCTTCCTATAGGCTCACCCACTCCGTGACTCCTTTCCTCTTGATGCTCAGGCCCCAACTTAGGAGTTGTCCTAGATTCTTCTCTATACTTCACATTCCAACTTCAGTCCAAGGGTTTCCTCTTTTCCACCTTCCAAGGTGGGCTGCTTCTCCACTCCTCATGTCCTCGTCCTTCTCCTATCTGCCCTGGATTCTTGCAGGAGCCTCCTGTGGTCCCCTGCCTCTCACTCCTCTCCCTGCATGGCAGCCGGAGGGTCCTGTTAGAGTGATGCCAGCCCACTCCCCATCTTCTACCTGTGTACCCTGAATGCTCTGGCTCCTTGTGATTTTCTGCCCTCATCTCTTACTGTCCCCATCCTGTTCACTCTCTAGATACACTGACCTTGCTCTTGCTTAGTCATTTTAGACACACTAATTGTCCCTACCCAGCAATTTCTGCACAGCACTCTTTCTCACCCCTCATGTCCTCCCAGAGGGGTGCACCTGGCCATCATGGTGGCCATTTCAGCCTCTTTCCCGACCTTAACAACTCCTTTCCTGCTTATTTTTGGAAATTTCAGTCTTTGTCACTGCCCCCAGTAGAAATCTCTAGATTCTGCTTATTTGTTTTGTGTCTCTCCCCCTCCCTGGAATATGAACTCTTTGGGGACAGGGATTTCAGTCCTGTTGGTTTCTCATTTCTCTGGTGCCTGGCAAATAGCAGGTGCTCAGGAAGCATTTGAACCAGTGAACAGGCCAGAGAGCTTTGCAGAAGGAAGCATTTGGGCATCTTGGCTTTGGATCACTCTCCCTCTCTCCCTCYCTCTCTCCTCTTGCTCTCCTACTCTGAGCGGTATTCACAACTCCTTTCCTCCAACCTGCCCTCTCCCTCCAGCCCCAGAAGCAACAACACTCCCATACACGTTTTATAGTCTTCCTACAAATGCATGAATAAGTGAGATAGGGTTTTGTTTTGTTGTATCTATTCTTAAAAAGTTGCGGTGAAATGCAACAAAAAATTCACCATCATGCAGTTCAGAGGCATGAAGTGCATCCATATTGGTGTGTGACCACCACCACCATCTTGTAAAACTGAAACTGTTTCCTGACCCCCAGCTGCAGCAACCTTTCTACTTCCTGGCTCTGGTTTTGACCACTCAGGGTGCCTTCTGTAAGTGGAGTCTCTTTTTCATCTGGCTTCTTCCCCTCAGCGCACTGTTTTCCAGGTTCATCCATGTTATAATGTCAGGAGGCATCAGGAGGTCCTTATTTTTTAAGGATGAGTGCTATTCCGCTGTGTGGATGGGCCACATTTGTTTATCTGTTCAGCAGTCCATGGACAATGGGGATTGCTTGTACCTTTTGACTATTGTAAGTAATGCCACTGTGACATTGGGGTGCAATATCTCCCTGAGACCCTGGTTTCAGTTTTTTTGGATATAGACTACAAGTGGAATTGCTAGATTCTATGTTTAATTCGTTTTGGTTTTGTAGTACCAAAAATTGAACCTAGGGTGCTCTACCACTGAGCTACATCCCCAGTCCTTTTTATACTTTTTTTTTTGAGAGAGTGTCTCTCCCCAGTTTGTCCAGGCTGCCCTTGAACAATCCTCCAACCTCAGCCTCCCGAGTAATTGGGATCATAGGGTGTGCCACCATGCCTTGCTGTGTTGAGCTTTTTTTTTTTTTAATATTTAGTTTTTAGTTTTAAGTGGACACAATATCTTTATTTTATATTTATGTGGTGCCGAGGATTGAACCTAGTGCCTCATGTGTGCTCGGTGAGTACTCTACCACTGAGCCCCAACCCCCAGACCCTGTGTTGAACTTTTTGAGGAACTGGAACTGTTTTTCACATCAGCAACACTATTCACATTTCTGCCCGCATGTGCGTGGATTTGATTCTGCATCCTTGCCTACACTCACCATTTTCTGTTCTTTTGTTAGCAGCCATCTTAATGGTTATGAGGCGAAATTTTGTGTGTTACTAAACATATTTTTAGTAACATACGAAATACTAGCGTCCTACTCTGTTATATATATATATCTTGTTTTAGGTACTCAGCATTAATTTTTACCTCAACTGTGTTGACCCTGTAGATTTGCTTCATTCATGTTACTTTATTTTTTCTATGCATACTGTACTTGTATGCAGTTTTGGAGGAGCGGCACTCCCTGCTTCCTGCTTCCCTTGCTTGGGTTCTCCCGACACTCTGAAGTCCTGACAGCTGCTTTTGTTGCTTCTGTCCACATCTCTAAATGCGAATGCTGCTGTCTCTCAGTTTCCCAGCTTGTAGCCCTAGCCACTGACCTGGAAGGAAAGCAGAACGGAGCTCTCAACATTCTTTGAAGGTTGCTTCTGACCTTAGATATTTACATATTCCAGAACTCGACCCTTTGCTCTGTGAAGATCCTCAGGACTTGGCAGGTTGACGGGAGGCTACCCCTAGGGTCGTGTTCATGGCGGTTGCACTTCGTGTGGGTTTCTGTCTCATTAAGGAAAGTGAGGCTTGGTTTTCCTGATGTGGTTGACAGGAGCGTGGAGAATCCTGCAAGCTCCAAGCAATGCATCCAGCAACTGCAGGGTCCTGCTGTGCGCGGCACCCTGCCACACACCGTGCAGGGTTGCGCCTTAGCCCTTGCCCCTGCCTTGGGCCATGTTTGTCTCTTCTCCCTTCCTGGAGTGGAGATAGGTCCAGAGAGGTAGTGCCACTGGGCCAACTCACAGGATGGGCCAGGAATACTGTGTACTAGGAGAGCGTCCCCTTCATCCTGCAGCCACAGGGTTGCCACTGCCTTTTCCTTGGGCTGTGTGGAGGGTGATGGGATCTGAAGCCAGCAGCTCTCAGAATGTGCTCTTCTGTACTCAGGCCCTGCGTCACTTTCAGAAGGCGTTCAGTGTATGTGAGGTCTCATTCCCCTGGGGAAGCCAGGGTGGGTGTTTGCTGTTTGTTCTGGGCGTGGCAGACTCCATTTTGGGTCACAGTCTTAAAGCAGTGCCCATGTGTCTAGCCTGGCCATGAAGAGTAACGATTCCAGGGATACAGGTGAGGCTGCGGCAGGGCCGAGTGTAGACAGCAGCACTCTATGGTGCCTGCAGGCAGGAGCAGGCTAGAAGGGCTTAGGTAGGTGAGTGGAGACCCAGGATGGGCAAGGAGGTGCCTCATTCTGCCTGTGTACTTTAGAAAACCCAGGGGGTCATCCTGTGTTCTTCATCCCAGAAAAAGTCTTCACATTTCTGCAAGGACATGTTTTAGCATCTSGATATCATTTTGATGGTGAAACAGCGGGAGTCAGTCTAGAGCGAGCCCCTGCCCCATGCAGACAGTCTGAGCCCAGTCCAGGAGACTGGCCATCCTCCAATGTCGGGTGCTGTTTGTTTCTTTGTAGGTGTGGAACGCTGTGGACTCGGGGCGCTGCTTGCAGACCTACTCCCTGCACCGTGAGGCTGTGCGGGCTGCCCGGTGGTCTCCCTGCGGCGGGCGCATCCTCAGTGGCGGCTTCGACTTTGCCCTGCACCTCACAGACCTGGAAACAGGTGGGTTCCTTGGTATCATTACTCCAAGGCGAGCTGGCAGCTCTCTCACTGGGGAGGGTTCTCTGGAGGGTCCCTGGCCATGGGCTGTGTGGGGTGTTAGGGGAGTAGGAGGGGCTCCCAACTCTCTGCAGAAGGTTCAAGGCTGTCTCAGCCTCAAGCTGTGGGGCGGATATCAAGGCAGCTTTTTATCAACTCTGACATGTGGTTTATAGTGAAGCAGGTTTAACTTGATCGTGGTGTTCTTTGGTTGGGGCCAGTGTATAGGACTGCTGTCAGTCCATTACCATTGAAGGCTGTAAGAATGACTTCATCTCCCAAGGAAGGGTAGGTTCTGCTTTAGTGCCCACACTAGAAGAGCATTGGCAAGATGGATTTGTGCTGGGTATGAGTGTGAATCTGAGCAAGCTTGGAGTAGGAATCAGTGGAAGGAGCTTTCCTGTCCCTGGCTCTGTGTCCAGGCACTGTGATACCTGCTATGGCCCCAGTTCCCGAGGCTTTCTGCTGGGTGCTGGTAGGAACAGACCAGGGCTGACACAGCTGRTGGGCAGGCCAATGCTGCCCTTTTCCCGGGCCTAGCTTCTTTCCACACCCATGTGGCCATCTACTCTTAGGCTCCTCCTTCCTCGGTCACTTTTCTGCTAGGCACCACAGCCAGGGGCAAGAGGAGGGACTAGAGTCCCTGGAGCCCTGAGACCAGCATCCTGCCTGCCTGGTGTGGCTGCCCCAGGGCTGGTGGCCTTACCCTGGGGTCCAGCCCAGCAGGTCTGAGAGGATGCAGAGAGGAAACACACAGGAGGCCGAGGTCACTGTGGACTTGGAACCCACCTCACATGTCCTCCTCTTGTAGGCCACCCAGGCGGTCTTACGGCTCCTTTTGGCCCCATGCACTTTTGGTGGGATGATGAGACTGCCAGTCAGGGGCCCTGCTTGGTCAAGGGGTGTATCTCCAGCTCTGTGGGAGGCCTATGGAATTCTCCCTGCAGCAGCTGGCAGTGGTTATTTCCATTTCATAGGTGAGGAGACCGAGGCCCAGAGCGCGAGGTGGCCTGTGCAAGGCCTCTCAGTGGTGAGGGACTGGCAAGGTTGGAGCTGAGTATGTACTGTAGACTGGTACCCTTCCCTTAGTGCCCAGTGGACAGAGCCTCTCCCTCATGGGGAAGCTCTCTGACAGCTTGTGTCTCTCTTCTTCTCAAGCCCACGGGTGCCAAGGCTTGGGGAGTTTGCTGCCACTTGATAATGATGATTGGGCTGATGATGATGCAGCAGTCTGTTCTGACCAGGTACCCGCTGTGTGCCAGGTGTCTCTCCACAGCCATCCACATCAGTGTCCTGTGGGCCCTGTCACCCTTAGAGGCAGGGACCATCAGAGTTGTGAAAAGGCGGCCTCTTCACATGCTGGTCTGGGGCCACGAGCTAGGCAGTGGCACAACCAGGATGTGCCCAGGTCTGCCAGGCCACCAAGCCAGCTGTCTGCCTGCTTCCCTGGTGCCCATGTGCCCTATTGCCATGCTGTGTGTGCCACAGAGCTGAACACAGCCCAGGGCTCACCTGGAGAAGGCCACATCTGTTGGGGACAGAAGTGCTGGGAGATACACGGATTGTAGGAGCACGGAGTTTAGAAAACCCAGGGGTCCTTCCTGGAGGAAGCACAGCCCACACTGAGCCAGGAGTTAAGTGAGAAATCATGGTGGAGGAAGTGTGTTCCAGGGGAGGGAAGTGGGCTCTCAGCAGGTAGGGCCACAAGGACACAGGATGCTACATTGTGTGTGAGGGAATGGGAGAGAGGATCTGGGATCTGTAGGAGGGTACCCCTGGCCTATGGATCCCATGAGCACATATGGGTGGGTGCTGCACTGCCCATAGAGGGACAGGTTAGCTCACCTAACTCTGGGCCATCSTTTCTCAGATGTGGGTGATGCTTTTGAAATACTCAGATTCACTTGATGACATTAGCAGATTCATTGTGGCCCTGCGTTATTACCTGTTTTCTCAATCAACAGATGTTAAGCGGACACATATGCCTGTGTGTGTGTGTGTGTGTATTGGGGGATGTCTTGAATGTTTTAGACATCCAGAGGCCCTCTTGCCTGACAAGTTAGGGACTGCTGTAGGGCCACTGCTGAGTTTTGAGCAGGAGAGAGCTGGGTTTGATTTGTGCTTTGGGTGGGTATCCCTGGTCGCTGCAGCTGGTCTTGTGTGTTCTACAGGCCTGCTGGAGGAGTGGGATAGTTTGTCTGGCCCAGGCCCAGCACATTCCTTCAGCTCTCTGGTGCTGAATGGATAGAGAGGAAGGTGGGGCCCTGTTCTGGGGGCCTTGCCACCCAGCCAGTGAGGCGATGTGGACCCCCCACCCACACCTCTTCTGGGAATGTGTTCACTGCCAGGCTTGTCTTCTGAAGGCCTTGCTGGTTCACCAGCATCTACTCCCCATGTATCTGCTGTGTGCAGGAACATGCTGGGCTGCAGCACAGGGCTTGCTGGACACCCTTCGTCTCCAGCAAGGGCATGGTGGCAGAGCTTGCACCCCAGCCTATAGAGGCCCTCCAGCTCCCAACAGACTGTGGTTTCTGTGCACCTCCTGGCTCCCGTTGGAGCTCATTGAGACGGGCCCATCCTGGTGTTCTCTCTGGCTTCATCGACTGGCCCTGTGTGTGGGGATGAGCTGGAACTAAGTGGGTCCATGCTGGGCCCTCCTGGCTAGGCAGTGAAGCCCATCACAGGCTGTCTGGGTGGGGTAGACTCCCCATGTCTTCTGCCTCCTCTCAGGACACCCACCCTCTGCCTTGGTGTCCCTGAGTGCTCTCTTCAGCCAGGGCTGGACTGGGCTGGACTTGCGGCCCTTGTGGCCTCTGTCCTGCTTTGGCTTCTTGTCCTTTCTCTCTACCAAGTCTGCTCTCCTGTTTTGCTTTATCCCCTTTCCACCCTTGGTGATTTGCCTTTTTCATTTCAGTCTCATTAGCGCTCCTGCCAAGAGAAGGCAGCGCGGGGCGTCTCGGTGCAGCGCTTTGGGAATTAGTCACTCGGTGCCCATTGTCGTTAATGGGAATTTGGTGCCAAGGCCATTTATCCTGGTGTCCTCAATCAATACAGCTAAAAATCTGTGGATTCTAAAATGTCAATACCCAGCCTGAAATATGGAGGGCCAGCCACATTTTATCTCATTAATTTATAGTTCTGACGGGCTGTTGGCTTACAGAACAACCATGAATCAACACTTAATAAAATCTGCTCACAGATTAATTATTTTTGGTGTTCCTGCTTCCGTCTGTAATCTTCCTAACAAATGTCTCCAGTGTATTAGCCTGAGGTGGCCTCAGGGGACACTAGCTGACGCCACCTGAGTGTCCTCAGCCTTGTGAGTCACCTGTCCTGCATGTAAAATCAGCCTGTCTCTTCCACACCCGCCATGGCTCCTCCAGTGCTTAGCGGTCCTGGTGGTGTTTCTCGAAAGTTCTAGCCCCCATCAGTCTCCCAGCCTGATGGTGAAGCCACTGTTGCTGAGTGGCGCAGGTCTCCATGCTGCACGCTTTTTGGCCACTCAGGAGCTCTCTTTGTCTGTGTTGGAYGCTCTCCTGAGGTGCACCCAGTTCCCGGATGCCGTAGAAGGAATGTGGGTGGGATGCACCTTCAGCCCCGCACCCCCCACCCTGAGTCGGGAAGGCGGGGAGTGTGCCTTTGCCTTTTTCTGCAGGAGCCTGGCTGGCAGACTGTTGGGGAAGGGTGCAGTGTGTACAGAGAGCCCCTCAGAGCATGGGTTAGGGTCGGCCCTCAGCAGAGGTGCCTCTTCCCTCTGTCACTGCTCCGTGAAGACCTTGGTTCTGGGCTGGGGTTGTGGCTCAGTGGGAGAGTGCTTGCCCAGCACGTGCAAGACCCTGGGTTTGATCCTCATCACCACATAAAAATAAATTAACTAATTAAAGATATTGTAWCCAACTACAACTAAAAAATAAATATTTTACAAAAATCTCATTAAAAAAAAAAGACCTTGGTTCTGTGGAGTTGTCCAGGGTGTCCCAGTTGTTGGGGTAGTTCCCCAAATGGGGCCACTTTAGGGTGTCAATTTCAGAATCCCCCAGCTGGCAGTCAGGGTGGGTTTCAGGGCAGACTGTGAGGAGGCCTTGGCCCATCTCTCTGATCCTCCTGCAGGTTTCCCTCTCCACAGTGGTGGTGGGGGAGCAGCTCTCCCTGGTGATGGCGGCATGCACCCTTTCTCTGGGATATGGGGTGGGCGTGCAGGAGCCTGCAGCCTGCCCTCTCCAGAGCTCCAGGTGTTAGTGGTAGGGAAGGTCTGCCCTTCTCACTGGATACCCACCGCCTGCAGTCCCCCTGYCCCCAGCCCCTGCCCAGCTCCTCTTGCTCTGGATGTCCCTTGTTTTTTGTTGGGGGCCATGGTGTGTGTGAAAATGAGTGGTCAGCTCGTGACCACTCCCTTGTTTTTTTAAGAAGCATCTTCTGGTACTGGCCTTCCTTTGCATCATTTTGGGACTTCCTTCCAGCTAGGGACACTGTAAGGATAGAGAGTAGCCCGTGGTCCAACTCCTTCTTGGGCTTGGTGGTGTGGGTCTGTTCAACTCTGCCTGGCCTCCATCAAACTGAGAGGCGTGTGTGGGAGCAGCACCTGTGCTTATGTGTCACGCTTGGTCACTCTCTAGCTGCGAGGGCAGTGTTTTTATGTCCATTTCATTCATGGAGGCTTAGAGAGTTTAGTGACTTTAAGGCCACATGGCCAGTGGCAACAGCTAGCTCCAAATTGGGCCCATGGGATTGGCAGAGGTTTTCTGCAGAGGCACAGGAGTGGCAGGCTCTCTCCACAACTGTTTGCCCAGACAAGTAGTGTGCTCAGCCGACTATTGGGAGCTATGGGCTCGGGAGGGAGTGCCTGAGCTCATCTTGACCTAGCCTCTGATTAAGTGACAGGCCTGGGTGCTTCTCTAGCTGTCAGCAGCTGTGCTCCAGGGGGAAGTGTCAGCCCCAAAGACTTCAGGACACCTGGCAGGGGA